CCATGGTAACTATTTCGCTTGTTCTCTTCCATCTTCAACCTCCAGCACCATTCTGCACTCTCAGCAAAAGGCCTTACCTTCTCTAAGAGAATAAAAGCCATGAGAGAACTTCAACTTTCCACTACCAAATCTAAATGCTTACCTATATCTGTGTCCATTTACTCGGCCTTTTCTCAGTTACAATGGAAGGAGTGTTCTTGCTCTTAGAGAACGAGCTAACCTCATCATTTGTGCTCAGGTTCCTTTCCTTGGCTATGCAAGAATGTGGCTCCTAGAATTTTTCCTTCTCTGTCTACATTATCATTTTTTTCACATCTCCTGGAGTATTACCATCAGTACACAAGCATGCTGCAATAACTGCCATTTAAAAAAAAAAAAAAATGAGGGCACCTGGGTGGCTCAGTGGGTTAAGCCTCTGCATTTGGCTCAGATCATCTCAGGGTCCTGGGATCAAGGCCCATATTGGGCTCTCTGCTCAGCAGAGAGCCTGCTTTACCCTTTCTCTCTGCCTGCTTCTCTGCCTACTTGTGATCTCTCTCTCTCTCTCTCTCTGTCAAATAAATAAATAAATAATCTTTTTAAAAATAAATAAATAAATGAGAAGGAAGAAATAAATTAAGGAAGGATTTTATTACTTCCCTTTCAACTACATCCCTGTTTTACCAGTCTTCTTCTTTTTTTTTTTTTTTAAGATTTTATTCACTTATTTGACAAAGAGAGATCACAAGTAGGCAGAGAGGCAGACAGAGGGGATGGGGGAGGCAGGCCCCCTGCTGAGCAGAGAGCCCAATGTGGGGCCCAATCCTGGGACCCCAGGACCATGACCTGAGCCAAAGGCAGAGGCCGAACCCATTGAGCCACCCAGGCGCCCCTACCAGTCTTTAAAATAAAACATCTCTCAGTTGGTTAATCATCCAACTGTTAATTTCGGCTCAGGACATGATCTCAAGGTCATGGGATTGTGCCTTTTGTTGGGCTCTGTGCTCAGCATGGAGTCTGCTTGTCCTTCTTCCCTCTGTTCCTTCCCCCTCAGATACTCTTTCTCTAAAATAAATAAATAAAATCTAAAATAAAATAAAAACAGCTCTCGGGGCACGCTGGGTGGTGCAGTCCATTGAGCATCTGTTCAAATACTTTTCTTTCTTGTTTCACCAGTACTTGTCTCTCTGCCTTCAGATTTTCTCAGTGTCAAGTAGTCAAAGCTCATCTACTTGGGACCCCCAAAACCAGGTACTCTCGCACCCCTGTGCCCTGACTACACCCCCACCCCCAATCAAATTATTCTTAAATTTCTATTATTTCCAGTCCTGATTTCTCTTTTGAGCTACATATTATTGTATCAAATCACCTTCTTGTTGTACTTCCATCTGGAATCTAAGAAGCATCTCAAACTTAACTTCTAGAAAATAGAACCTCATTTTTCCCTTATCAAATCCACTGTTCATCCTTCTTCCCCATAATGGTTAAAGGCATGACCATTAGTTCAGGACAAAAATTTAAAAGTCAATCCTGACTCTTCTTTTTTCTTGACATCTGATATTAACAAATCCAAAAGGAAGCATTATTAAGTCTATCTTTAAAATATATCCTAAATATGACCATTTCTCACCACCTTCATTAAAGCTCCCTAATGACCTAGATCTCAGTCACTATCAATGACCATTGGACTAACAAATTTAGCCTTCTCATTTGTAACTTTCTGATTCCACTCTTGCTCTTGCTCTCAATAGTCTCTTCTTCACAGCCAGAGTGACTTTAAAAAAACAACAACACATGTTCTAAAACTCGAAAAACTGTTACTTAGAACAGAAACGGGATTCCAGAAATATATTCAAATATAACAAACTACAAAGAACCTAAGTTCTTTTCTGCAAGACTACTAATTTACAGAAGAATACTGATAAAACTGAAGATAGGCTCCTTACAATTTCTAGGCACTGAAATTCTCCTAAGGCTATGTCTTAAATATAATCTACTTCTGTATATAATTCCATTATATAATTAGCTTATTGACAGATCATGTACCAGATTATACAACAACCCCGCTTAAAATTTTCCAAAGGCTTCCTATCATATTTAGAATAAAATCTCTTTGTAAAATTGTATACAATCTAGGGCCAACCAACCTCTTACATCTTATCTCTTGCCACTGAACTCCTCATCATGCTATGCTGTGTTGTGCTATACCCACGGTGGCCTCCCTGCTTTTTCTCAAACACACCAAACTTACTATACCTTTAGGGCCTTTGAATTTGCTATTCCCTTTGCCTGGAACACTCTCTTTCAAGATATTCACATGGCCCACTCTCACACTTAATTCAACTCTCAACTCAATACCTCCTCAGAGAAGTCTTTTTAAACTATTACTTCTAAAATAGTCTCCTTTTTTTCTTCTTTGGTACTAACATAGTCTCTTATTCTTACTGCCCATCACTCTCTCTGTCAATACACTGTTTTGTGTTTATTCATAGCATATACCACTACCTAAAATTATGTGTTTGTTTTTTAATCTGTCTTCTCCAAAAAAATATAACTTCCATAAGAGCCTCATTTTGGTCTGCTTGTTCACCACTATAGTCCTAGCACCTAGATCCATGCCTCACACAGATTATGTGCTCATCAAATATATGTTATGTGTGAGAATAAACAATAACCTGTAACAGTCTAAAAATTCAAAAAGAATGATATCTGGAAAAGAAATGGGATTCCAGAAATATATTCAAATCTAGCAAGCTATATAGAACCTAAATTCTTTACCTGCTTTGCTATGTATTAATGCAAGATTTTCACTAGAATCAAAAAGATTATCTTGTAATTTTTAAGGCACCTCAATTCTCATGTGCCTATATTCTAAATACAATTTATATTTACATATATAACTCCATTATTATATATTTAGCTCATTCAAAATCAATATTTTAGCTTTTGTGCAACTTAATTTGCTAGGAAATGAAAATCACAATCAGTACCAAGTTAAAACAAAACTAAAAGGTAAAAAGGAGACAGAAGAACTGAACTCTAGGTTATGACAATACAAGGAGTTCTACTGACCTGATCCCCAGTAAAATTGGTGAAAATTATTTTAAAAAACTAAAGCTCCTGGAAATGGTCCTTAGGGTAAATAACAAAGAAACATCTATTCAAGAAAAGTGAAAATTCTACGATACTTGAACCAAAACCATTCCCTCCCTCCTCTCTTCCAGAACAGAGAACGTGGCTCTACTCCAGACTATGGCCACCATGGACACAGGACTCCCTTATTTCCCAGTTCTGAGCTGGAGGGCTTTCTTCCCATAGAAGCAGGACTTCAGCATTTCTGAGGTTCTTCCAGATCTCTACCTTGGGTGTTGACAATCCTGGGAGCCCAAGAGCCCTTCCTGTGGCTCAGGAGACAGTGCTTCCCTGACAGGACAAACTGAGAGATCTCCACTTACTGCCCTGTCTCAGCTCCTAAAGAGTAAAGATGTCATTCAGAAGCTACCGCAGTTCTCCGCCCAACTTTAGAGCCTTGGCTCAGAGATTTTGCCTGGGGGCAGGAGAAAGGCCATTAAAAAAGACCACCTGTTAATCTCTTCCCACAGGAGTTTATCTTGTTTGCAACAGTAACATTTAAACTTAAAACATTACTCAAAAATAGGGAAGGTTGTGGTATAGGGAGTTGGGAGGAGATTTGCTTACAGATCTAATGAAGATAAAGCCTGGACTACAGGCTGGCCAGGTTAAGAGAGAACCAGGCGAATAAGACTTCTAGAAGGCCTCTTGAGGTCAGAAATATCCAAACTCTAACCTTAGAAATTAGATTAGATTAGTTTGTCAAGCCCCTGCCCGGAATTTATACCCCAGGGCACTATTATAAACAACAAAGCAATCAGCCAGCAATTAGTGGAGCTGAAAACCTGGGTGTAGTCAGGGAAAAGTGTAGACGAGAGCTCCACCAGTACAGGAGTCATTCCAGGGTGACTATAGGCAGACTGCCCCAGGAGCAACAATAGAGACTTAATATTCTGTGTTGGGGAAAGGGAGGGAAGGGTCACAGGGGGAACAGCCTTCACAGAAACAAATCCAGTTCAGCCCCTAAACAAATAAACAAGCAAATAACAATAACAAAGCACTGGAAAGGAGGACCGGTATCTAAAACAGCTATATTATCTAAAATGTCCAGTCTCCAACAAAAAAATTATAAGGAATCAAAGAAACAGGAAAGTATGACCCATACATTTGGGGGTGGGAGAAGCAACAGAAACCGCCTGTGACAGCGACTAGATGTCAGATTTAAGAGGAAAGATTTCAAACTAGCCATTATAAGTATGGTTACAGAACAAAAGGAGAGCTTGATTAAAGACAGAAGGAAAGCATGACGACAACATCATGTCAAATAGAGAGTATCAATAAAGAAAAAAAATGTTCATTCTCAAATAGAGAATATCAACAATGAGAAAAAATATTTCCAAATGGAAATTCTGGATATGAAATGTACAAAACGAAAATAGAATTGTAGGATATAGAAAGAACCTCAGACTGCAAAAAAGACCCTTGAGCCTAAAGGGCCAATGTGTGTTCTTCTCCAAATCCATTCTTCCAACTCTGTGTCTGATGTCCTTTTTTTTTTTTCTTTCTTAAAAGATTGTATTTATTTATTTGACTGAGAGAAAGTGAGAAAGGACAAGTAGGGGGAGTAGCAGACAGAGAGGGAGAAGCAGGCTCCCCGTTGAGCAGGTAAGCCTGATGCAGGGCTGGATCTCAAGATCCTGGGATCATGACCTGAAACAAAGTCGGATGCTTAACCAAGCCACCCAGCTGCCCCTAATGTACTTTTTTTTTTTTAAAGCCACAACTTTCAATAATAAAATTAACTCTATCCACTAATTTAATCATAAAATCCATATGCTACTTCTTGGATGACATCCATTCTATACATAATTCATATTTCTTTTTAAACAAAGTGATATTATAAATAACAGGTTAATTCTCAAATTTAATAATAATATGAAAAATCTTACTGGTCTGACGTCACCACAGGAATTGGTAAATTGTCGAGCCAAGCCAAAATCAAGCATGTAACATTTCCTACATGTACTAGGAAAGCGACCCATGGCGAAGTTTGACTAGAAAAGCAAAGAAGGAAAATATACATATTCTTATAAACTAAATCCTTACATATATCCTTCCTATATTTTAATTCTTCTATTTAAACTCTATATAATACATATGTCTCAAACACACTATTCTAATCCATGATATTTACTGGATATTAATACATAATCTTGTTGTGTATTCTATTAATGCCTAGGAGCAGGTAACTTTGAGGAACAAAGAATTAAGTGATGGTACAAAGTTACCTACAACAACACTGACTTAAGTGGAACTCTATGTTCCTTGAAATTCTGGTCTAAGTCAACTTTAAAGACAGCCCAATTCTTCCTTTTCAAAATGGGAGGAACTAGGAGTGAGCAAAATTGAATACACAGCTAAAAATTTAAATGAATTTCCTATAAGCATCATAAAGCTGAATTTCACTAAGCATAAAAATTAAAATTCAATTTAAGGAAGCATTTCAAAACAGACTTAATGAAATACACTTTGCATTCTTCCCTTAAAAAATAAATGTAATGTTAAATGAGCACAAATTTGCAAAGATGGTATGTAAAAAGAGAATTTATAAAGGAAAAAGCAAAACTGCTACAAAATTTTTAGCTTTTATTTTAAAATAGTGTTCTACTTAGGGAGTTTTCAGATGAAAATGGAAAGTCTTCAGTCACCATGCTTCTAAAGTAGTGACATTTAGTTTGGCATAGAATTGAGAACAAGAGAAATCTATATTACATTAAGCCTGACTCTACTAATGTTAATTTTAGTTGGCATTTTCATGTAAACTATTTAATTTTAGAAATCATGTAGCAACAGATGGATGTAATTTTCAACTGCACTAACCAACACATGATATATTTATAGTAAATATAGTATATCAGAAATGGATCATTTCCCCTTGTGAGCAATAAAAAAAACAAAGAAGGAAAAATAAACGCATATTTCAGTTATGGAAATGACAATTTCTAAGAAAAAACAGAATAGAAAAAAATACTATATATTGCCACTGTAGCACTCAGAAGAAAAAATAAGGTCTTTCATAATTGATGGTTCCTTATAAGTACAATTTGTCACTTGAGAAATATTTCAGAGAACACAATGAATATAAAAGCCACATATGTCTGTACCCCTGGGGATAAAAATATATTATATGTTTATAAAAAATAAAATAAAAAAAAGCCACATATGTATATATTTTTACACAGTATCGGGAAAAAGAAATCTAAAGAATGACTTCCAATTTAGGTGTAAGGCTAAGTAACTAGGAATGTTAATGCACATAATAATAATAGTCAAGCATTATTAATTTTTACTTTGGCTGCGAGCAACATTTTCATTGTATGAAAAAAGCTCCTGAATGTTAAATTGTAGTTTGTAATTAGAATTTTTTTTTAAATTAAGAGGCAAGTTACATTTTGCTTCTAATTACAGAATTAAAATATTACCTTGTATTTAATAATAGAAAGAAAATACAGAAAGCTGCAATCATAATTTATTGTGTCCCTTCATTAGATTAAGAGTACAAAGCAAACTCATTCTGTGCTCTGACTTGAAAAGGCCTCTTACCGGTTTGATGTCTCGGTGCAAGAATCCCACAGAATGGATGCTCTCAATAGACTCGAGAATCTGTCTACCCAACCGAAGAGTAGTGCTAATGGTGAATGTGCCCCGGGACTGGCTACGGCGTAGATCTGCCAGATTCCGACCCTGTGTAAACCAAATAAACACTTTCACATATGGTACTATGTTATAAAAGAAGAGCGGGAAGTTATTCATTTACCATTAAAAATGTTTTGACAGGGGAACCTGGGTAACTCAGTTGGTTGAACATCCAAGTCTTGGTTTCCACTCAGGTCATGGTCTTGGGGTTGTGGGATGGAGCCCTGAGCAGCGTGGGACCCACACTCAGCGGAGCCTCTGCTTGGGATTCTTTCTCTCCCTCTACCCCTCCCCCCCGACTCATCCTCTCTCTCAAATAAATAAATCTTTAAAAAAAAGTTTTGGCAGAAAGAGCAAGGATTCTACCCAAATCGTGACCCTCTCATTCAAGAGAAGAGATTCCATTAAGGTAATATATGAATGTTTCAAAGAAATTTAAGAATAACCAGAAGTTTTTGAACTTATTATGTTTTTGAGTCATCATGTTTCCGTCTTTCATGCCATAACAAAATATAGTCTTGATTATTTGAAAATATAGAAAACATATGTACCCAGAGCAATAATTCCAAATATAAAATAAGTGATAATCTACAATAATGAGTTTTACAATCCCATGAGTAGCTAATAACTTACGAGCATTCCAATCATTTTTTTCTCAAAAATCAGTATTTTGATTTCCAAAAATATACCTAAGAAATACTGGAACTTTATTTGTAAACAACTTCCACCATTATAAAAGCTTTTGAAGGAAAATCAATTAATTTGATTTATGACGGTAGTAATGATTCTAAAATTTCAAATCAGTTATTTTTTAATTTCTTTAAAATTTTAATTAATTAATTTATTTATTTGTCAGAGAGAAAGAAAGAGCACACAAGCAGGGGGAGCAGGCAGAGGGAGAAGCAGTCTCCCCCCTGAGCAAGGAACCCGATCTAGGACTTGATTCCAGGACCCCAGGATCATGACCTGAGCCGAAGGTAGATGCTTATTCAATGAGCCACCCAGGTGTCCCTAAAATTTCACATCTTTTAAAATGTAAACTAAGGTATCAATTAACAAAATCCAAAAAGATAAAATATAAGGCTAGAAGGAGTATGGGGAAAAGTTATTAACATGGTAAATACATGCAGGTTTTATTCACCTAATTAAAATTAAAAACTTCACAGTATAAATTAAATAAAAGTAGTTATTATTTGTTACAAAGAAAAACTGAAAACAATCTACATATCTATCAATAAATGAAAGGTTAAATAAATTATGGTACACTCATCTTAGTGACTGGTACACAGCCACTGGGAAGGAGGGGGATTCTTATTCATAACATAGAATGAATATTATTGAATGAAAAAAAAAAAAAAACAAATGGATTTTTCCCTAATTAATTCTATAAATTTAACATGATCCCAATAAAAATACAAGTGGATTTTACTACTAAAAATGTGAAGTGAACCTAAAAGAAAATAATATAATGAACCCTCATATAACTACTCATCACCAAGAATTAACAATTATCAATTCATAGCCAATCTTGTTTCACCTGTTTGTTACCTACTCCCCCACACCCTTGCAATGCACACCCTTTTCCTTCCCACACATATATATGCTGGATTATTTTCATGTAAATACCAATATCATTTCATCTACATATATTTAAAAGTGTGTAAGAACAAAGAGATAAAAATAAATTGTCAGCAACCCTACTGTCACAAATTTGAACTAGAAATAACTACTTTCTCTTTTAAAAAATGTGTATCCTGAACCCATCCACTTGAAATGAATTTAAAACAATGTTCAACCCAATTACGAGAGATACCCATAGCCTCTAGAGTTTGTGGTCTCTAAATATCATTTCCCACGAAGAGGAATCAGGGCTTACTGGAGAAATGGCTGATTCTAGCTCTGAAGCATGAAACAGACAGAATGAGCTTGGAACATGATATTGGATGAGAAAGTAAGGATGCTATCAAAGACTGCTACAGTCTGGTCTTACCAAAATGAATCAGAATCCAACTTGAAAGAAGCCCTATTGGTCAAAGATAGAGCAATTTGAACATTAAAAACAACTGCAATAATTGAGAAATATAAAAGATGTGAAATCCATGAACTCATATTTTTTTAAAAAGACAGAGCTCATCAGTCCTCTTTGGAAAATATTAGGGAACCAACTTGTTATTTTGAGAACTAGTAAATGGAAGAAAAGAAACAAGTACAAATCCTGCCCTTCCTATATAAAAATTTATCTCAGGTAACCTAATAGTTGAGGGAGTGCTTTTTTGAAGAAGAATTCCAGCTATTAATTAAGGAAAACTGATAGAATTAGAATCATACACCTGCAACCCCACTGAAGTAATGGATCTAGGCAATGATTACTAATCGGTTGATAAAACCTAGAAGAAAACTACTGGGAGCTTTAAAAAGGATGCATCAGGCTGACTGTCCCTGAATCTCAAGGATCAATCCTAAGAATATTAAAAAGAGACAACCCAGGGGCGCCTGGGTGGCTCAGTTGGTTAAGCTCCTGCCTTCGGCTCAGGTGATGATCCCAGGACCCTGGGATCAAGTCCCGCATCAGGCTCCTTGCTCAGTGGGGAGCCTGCTTCTCTCTCTGCCTCTGCCTGCCGCTCTGCCTGCTTGTGCTCTCCCCCTCTCTCTCTCTGACAAATAAATAAATAAAATCTTTAAAAAAAAAAAAAAAAGAGACAACCCAGACATTGCCTAGGGATGGCATGCAAGAGGAAGCATACCACTCACCTCTGAAGTACTCTGGCTAATTAAAACAAAGATCTAATCACCAGTTTACAGAAAATACAGGGGATAGAACAACATGTTAAATAAGGAGGGAGATAATCAGCAAACTCCAGAATATGTGAACTTCATGACAAGCGACATCATTTTTGTCGATGACAATATGAACAACAACAAAAAAACTGTAAAAAAAAAGAAATAGAGGGAACCTATAGAGTAAAGAAGGTTTAAGAATTATATCCACCAAATGCAACATGTGGAACCCTCTGTGAAACCAGATTTAAGTAATCCAAATATAAAAAATAAAATAAAATAAAAGATATACAATAAGGAAATCTGAAGATTATCTTGATATTTAATGCTATTATTAAGGAATTACTGTGTACTGTGATTAAGAGGAGAAAAAGAGTCTCTCTTAGGAATACATATTCATGTATTTCCAGATAAAATATGCTTCTATTTTGCTTTGAAATAATTTGGGGAGGGAGAGGAGAGGAAGAATACACCAGGAACAAGATGGGCCATGTACTGATAACTACTGAAGCTGGGTGATGAGTACAAGGGTGTTCATTATACTATTTTATTTTTGTTTATGTTTAATTTTTTTCACAGTAAGAAAAAGTTTTAAATATAAGGCAGCTCTGATGTTAGGAAATCCAGATCTACATCTGTATGATTATAAGATTCAAAAATTTTTTTGCCCCTCCCTAGGTGATAACGCTTTTTCACAAAATATCACACTTTGGCTGTATGAAATCTGCTCATGTAAAGCCTCAATGATGAAAGGAAATTTCACGAGACTCTTCCAGATGTTGCAGGTAGAAATGAGAAAAGAAGCACAAATTCTCAAACCCATAAGATTTCAAGACCCAGATTTTAAGAGCCTCCCAGGTGCCCCAGTCCTTAAAAATTTTAAGGCAGATATTCTACAACTGAATCACCAAGAGGAAAAGAGTATTAAAGAATAATAAATTTAGGGGGCGCCTGGGTGGTTCACTCAGTGGAGCATACAACTCTTGATTCTGGCTCAGGTCATGATCTCAGGATCATGAGATCGAGCCTGCATCAAGCTCTGTCCTGAGCATGGACCTACTTAAGATTCTCTTTCAACCTCTCCTTCTGCCCCTCCTGCCCTCCATACCCAAAAGAATTTAGGATTTTTAGAAGAAATTAAAAGTGGCAGTGAGAAGCTGACTGTGTAAATTTTATCACAATATACAAGGGGAAACATAGTAGTTATCTTCAATATGTCACGTAAGACAGAGTACCCTCTAACAATTATATTAGATTTACTCTAAATCAAGTCAATCATAACTGTACAGATGCATGGCTAATGGTGGATAATTTTCTTATGAACAGGAAAAAATACAGCATGAAAGTCAATTGGAAAGGTTCTTGGATAAATCCAGAGGAGCCTGCCAAAGGCCACAAAGGCCATCGTTATCTGATCTACACTGGTCTCCTTAGTTTTCCGAAACTTTTTCTGAATTTCTTTCCTCTGCTGCCCCAACCCAACCCCACTCTCCATCTAGGAAACAGAACTATGTTAATGAATGAAAAAAGAAAAAGGAATGCATTTCTCCTATGTATCAAGTAATGCTTAAATTTTCAAGCAGTCAAAGTTGGTTCTTGAGCACATAAATTAAAAACTAGAGGTAACAAGAGGTAACAAAGAGAGGAAGGGAGAGGGACCCGGCAAGATTCCTATCCAACAATCCATGTGGGGATTGAAAAACTGCAATGGTGATAATCAATGGATAGCTGACAAGAACAACCCTTCCAGAGGGAAAAATGAAACAAGACGAAACCAGAGAGGGAGACAAAGGATAAGAGACTCTTAACCTGAGAGGAAACAAAGTGAGGGTTGCTGGAGGGGAGGGGGTTGGAAGGGATGGGGTGGCTGGGTGATGGACTTTGCAGAGGGTACGTGCTATGGTGAGTGTGGTGAATTGTGTAAGACTGAGGATTCACAGACCTGTACCCTTGGAACAAATAATATATTATATGTTAGTTTAAAAAATAGCAAAAAAAAAAAAAAAAAAAAAAAAGAACAACCCTTCCATCTTTGGGAAAATCTATGTCAAATCTGTTTAAATGAAATTCCATCTGCATAATATAAAACATTCTGAGATGATACCAAGAATTCTATTTTATTCATATCTACTGAAATTAGGTACTTTGATCAAAACTGAAATATTTTAAGATACATTTCCAAGTAACCTACCTGCAACTGCATGACCACATAGTTGAATCGATCATTCCTCCCACAGCCAATAAATCTACAAACGTGGTCTTTCCCTGGATAAAATAAAGAAAGACAGACAGAAAACAGTGGAAAAGGTTATGCTATGGTTTCTCTTCTAAATAATTAATAATTTGCTTTTCTGTATAGTATTTTATAATTGAATATAAAGGACCTGTCTTATGAACCTTAAAAATAGGAAATCTGTATTATTCAAATTTCCTATCCACCTCCCCCGGATCCTACATTGTTCTGTGTGTAGTCAAACACATGTTTATTGAATGAATAAATAAATGAATGAGGAAATAAATGAATGATAATTTATTTATGAAGTAAAGAATTAAAAGGTCATTTCAGGTCAACTTGCCCAGATATTATACGTATGAAAACGGAGAAGAGCAATAAATAAGAACTCTGTTAGGAATATAAATCCTGGGGGATACAAATATTATATTTATAATATAAATTTATTGTATAAATATAAATCCTGAAATATATATATAAATATAATATAAATTTATTTTATAAGTATAAATCCTGAATTTCAGATATGGTCTGCCATTCACCAATATATGACTTCAGTCCCTTAATCACTTATTCTTTCTGGGCCTCAATGATCTGGATTAGTTCAGTGTTTTTCAACCTGGGTTTTACCTATGAAATCCAAGGAGGTGCTGACTAGGGTGCAGAGGAAAGCAGAGGTGGAACAGGTAGAAATCCAGAGTCTGCCCTGATTCAACAAAAGCAAACAAAGGTCCTAGGAAAGGATTAAGACTGGTGGGCTCCAGGGCAAGAAGAGGGCATTTTGTCTGGAGCATAGTGAATGAAGGGAGAACAGCATGAGGAGATGCTGGAGAAGCAAGAGACATGAGGCCCTGAAAGGTCTTAGACTCTATAACAAGGAAAGTGAGCCACATGGAGAAGTCAGTTTATCTCAGCCCCAGCTACGTATCGAAATCATCTTGGGAAATTTTGAAAATTCCTGCACTCTTTAGTGATTCAGAATTGGTGGGGGAAAATACAGGTTGGAGCTTTTCAAAAGTTCTCTAAGTGATCCAAAAGCAGATGGGCCATGGATGGATATATGATCTATTGGATCTATTGCTGGGTAAAGAGAAGCATCTACAAGACTTTAAGATGAGGAAAAACACACTTAAAACATTGTACTTTAGAACACTGCTATGGTGGCAATGACAGACCACACAGAGGTCAACTCTAAAGGCAGAAAGGTCACTCTGGGAACAGTTACAATATCCCAAGAGAGAATAGGGCTTAAATGATAAATAGTATAGGAGAGATGGAAAAAATAAGATAAATATGAGAGATACCAAAGACAGTTCTGACTAGAAACTGGTATAATTAAATGGTAAGTTTTACCAAAATAAGAGAATATATAGTAGGTGGTATAGGCTGTAAGGGATATTAGAATGTCGAGTTTAAGGACAACCTGGTGAATTTAGCAGACAATTGTAATTTTAAGCCTGCTGCTGGGCAAAAAGCTGAGCTGTAGAAATACACTGGGGAACCATAAGTTCATGGAAGACAGATAGAACTACACACACAGATGGAAAACTACCAAGTTGGAAAAATATAAAGAATGAGAAGAAAATTAATCTAAGAACTGAATTTTAGAAAATGAAACATTTAGAGCATGGGAAAAAATAAAAGAATGCATGAAGGGAATCAAGTAATAGCCAGAAAGGTATGAGGAAACTATGAGAAAGAGGTATTATAGACATACAATGAGAAGAAGCATTTTGGCTAATGGCAAATGCTATAGAAAGGCTGAGAAGTGCTGGTTAATATAAAAATTAGGAAGTCACTAGTGAGTAGAAAGGGCGACAGCCAGTCTTCAATGGAATAAAGTATGAATCAACCACGAGGCAGTGAGGGTAATCTTTGAAGAAGTTTGCCTGTAAAGTGAACAAGTCATATGCCAAGAGCTGGAAGGGCAAGATTTAGTGAATGAATGAGAAATACATCTCAAAATTAAAACAAAAACAAAAACAAGGGGCACCCGGGTGGCTCAGTGGGTTAAGCCACTGTCTTCGGCTCGGGTCATGATCTCGGGGTCCTGGGATCGAGTCCCACATTGGGCTCTCTGCTTGGCAGGGAGCCTGCTTCCCTCTCTCTCTCTCTCTCTGCCTGCTTCTCTGCCTACTTGTGATCTCTCTCTGTCAAATAAATAAATAAAATCTTTAAAAAAAAACAAAAACAAAAACAAAAACTTTCTACTGACGGACTTAAAATACAAATGCAATCCAGACTTATTTTAGTTAATAATTCAACTTCTTTTACACTATTCGCTCTTTCTCTGTGGTTTTGCTGGAAAGGGTTGGAACTCACAAAAAATATGTTCAATGGGAGCAATAATTCCCAATGTGTACAATGCATGTGCATCACTTTACATGTATTTTACAAATATTTGCAAAACTGTGTCTGTCATCTAGTAAACTGCAGTAAGAATGAAAGGATGAAATGACGGCCAATTAGCAACTTACTCTTTCCCTCAGCTTCAAAGGAACAATTTAAAAATCATTTATGAAGTATTTTATTCTTATTATCCATTAAAAATTCCACCTTCCTAGCATACAACATTTAAATGATGGATGTCTATTACAAAGACATTTCAACCATCTAAAAACAAAAGGCCATACTGTATTTAATGCTTCTCAGAATTTTCTTTCAAAAATATCTTTATGGTACATAACACCAAAATACTATTTATCTCTTGATAGTGAAAACATCCTACTTATATATTAAAAAAAAATCAAACTGTAGATCCTTGACTGATAAACAAAATACAAAGTCAGTAGCAAACTCTTTAGGATTCACCAACACATCTTCATTGATATAGGTTAGAGCTTAATGAGTTCTTAACTCATACTTTTTAGCATAGTGTACTACTGTTCTTATATTTTAGATACATGCAATTAGTGAAAATCCTTGGTTCAATAATATGTACAAATTTTTAGAAGCATGAAGAAACTACAATTTAACTGGAACAGTAATTCTTCACCACCACTTAGAGTATTAAAAATAACTATTGTAATAACTATTGTAATAACTAGTACTAGTACGTGTACAGGGACCGTATCTATCTTGTTCTGGTGACTAGCACAGCATCTGTCAATTAGTGAAATGCCCAATTAGTATCTGTGAATAAACAAATTAATATAAATAATGATAGCTAGTAAAACATACATAATATGCAAGCATATTGTGCCAGGCATTATATTAAGTGCTTTACATGCATTTAATCTTCACACCTTAAGTATTATTATTTTCCCCATTTTTCAGATGTGAAGAATTCAGCAAAATAATCTCTAAAAATCAAGGGAGCAGGGTAAGTTATACTTGAAGAGAGTGTTAATAATTCAAAATCATTGCTGTGGAGAAAGAGAAACACAAAGGGAAAGAGAATCAGCTTGCTAAACCCAGAATATATCAGGAGAGACCTAATAAACTGTCATTAGTTAAGAGTCCTGAGGAGAATCCAGATACCAGAACTACAGCAATCTTTATGATAAATCAGGCAGTCTCCTAGGTCAAATCTTTTTTCTTTTTTTTTTTAAAGATTTTATTTATTTATTTGACAGACAGAGATCACAAGTAGGCAGAGAGGCAGGCAGAGAGAGAGAGGAGGAAGCAGGCTCCCCGCGGAGCAGAGAGCCCGATGTGGGGCTCAATCCCAGGACCCTGGGATCATGACCTGAGCCAAAGGCAGAGGCTTTAACCCACTGAGCCACCCAGGCGCCCCTCCTAGGTCAAATCTAGTTGGTAAGCAAACAAACAAACAAGACAGTCCCACACTACGCACTGCTAGGCATGATTATGATTCCACGTTCACAAAAATAGTTATTCAACTTCATGCACAATAAGATTAGAGGAGAGGTCCAGAAATATTACAGAAACCACTCAAAGTCCCTAGATAAACCATTTTATAAAGTTTTAAGAACTCCCAGTATAAAAGACATGTAAATAGTCCTTTTTTAGAAGATTTTATTTTAGGACACCTGGGTGGCTCAGTCCGTTAAGTGCCTGCCTTCACCTCAGGTCATGATCCCAGGGTCCTGGGATGGAGCCCTGCATCAGGTTTCCTGCTCAGCCTGGGAGTCTGCTTCTCCCTCTCTGTCTGCCCCTCCCTCACATTCATGTCCGCGTGCTCTCTGTCTCTCTCACTCTCAAATAAATGAATAAAATCTTTAAAAATAAATAAATAAAAGATTTTATTTTTAAGTAATCTCTCCATCCAACTCTGAGATCAAGATTTGCACACTCTACCAACTGAGCTAACCAAGTGCCCCCATGACATCTAAATAATTTTAATGTCACTCTAGGACAGGAGTGATGTCAAACCCACACCAATCCTCATTTTATTCCTACTTAATAACCTCCCATACATTCTCATTAAAGGCACCAGAATATGATAGATATATAAATTTAATTTCAGCATCATTAGACTATACTGCCTTTGCTTGTCTGACCCCTAGACTGTAAGTACTCCTAGGGTAGGGGCTCTAGTACCCAGCTCCGCACAGGGTACACACTAATTAAACAATGAATAAGTTTTTTACAATACCTTTATTGAAACATTATTAATGTACCACTAAATTCACCCATTTAAAGTGTAATTCAATGTTTTTAGTATATTCACAGTTGTACAACCACCACCATAATCAACATTAGAACATTTTCAACAGCCCTACCCCACCCCACCAAAAAACCCATACTTATTAGTTGTCACTTCCACTTCCCCCTGCAACTCCCCCAACCCCATGAGAGTCAGTGTCACTAAACTACTTTCTATCTCTACAGACCTGACTATTCTGGACATTTCACATAAATGGAATCATACAAATAAGTAGTTTTTGTGACTGGTTTCTTGTACCTAGCATAATGTGTTCAAAACTCATCCGTGTCGTAGCACGTATCAATATTTCACTTCTTTTCATTGTCAATAATATCCATTATGTAGCTATGCTTAATCTTATATAGTTATTAATATGTTTAATCTTAAGCAGTCCATAGGAACTGCTGGACTGTTGTCCAAAAA